TCCCAAGAGTTGGCGGTGGGTGGTGATGACTAGCTGCCTTCCCTCTAGTCTTACACTGCTAAGTTAGGGACGGCTAGCGCAGATAGCCCTCGTGTAGCTTTGTGCGAAATTCAAAAACAAACAATACAAGAATGAAAAAGTCAAACTTTTGAACAAGTAGAAACTAAAATCAGAACAAAAGAATATGCCAAACTGCGAGTAAATATACGCTAGTAACGAAATTAATCAACCGACGAAAATTAACAAAATATGAACTTAGATAGTAAGTAGATTATAAAATCAACAAATGAGGATAAATCTAAAACAACGGATTATCGAATGAAATAAAGAAATTTTAGAAAAGCGTCAACAAAAACAGACGAGAGTGATTTGAAAAAAAGAAAGAGAAAAGGTGGAATAATAAAAATAAAAATAAAACGGAAGGAGCAGATGAGAACGAAACGAAAGAGTGACAACATAATGAAATCGAAAAAAATATACCAAAACGTCAGAAGTGGTAGATGAATGAAAGACAAGCGAACTAGTAAAATGAACGAAAACAATCGCCGATAGATAATAATGAAGTAGGATAAAAAGAAAATATTTTCTTTCTCATCTTATAATTACCTTCTTGTAGATTTGTTCAGTTGTTTTCGCATCACTTTCCTTATCAATCCAGATTTTAACATAGTAGCTTTCTAGCCAATGCTGATTAAAAGACGAACAACGAATTTTGCATACTCTAATATTGATATTTCTTACTCTTGATTTCAATGGCTCAGCTCTAAATCTAAAGGCTTCTAAAGCTGAAAACCTAGATGCAATACCCGTGGTTTGTTTGTTTGTTTGCTTGAAGTTAAGCACAAAGCAACACAATGGGATATCCGTGCTCTGCCAACCACGGGTATCGAAACCCGGATTCTAGCGTTGTAGATCCGCAGACATACCGATGTGCCACTGGGGGGCGATACTCGTGGTGGGCGCAGCACAGATAGCCTATTGTATAGCTTTATGATTAGCAATAGCCCAAAGAAATAAACAATTCTTACCATGATTTGTTAACTAAGGAATATCTCCCAGATTTCTCAAGTGGCATAGAATACAAACTTGGAGTGTATGAGTGTTTATTGTAAAACTAATTTTTCAACAGCTATGTTTCTTTATCGTTTAGATGCAGAAGAAACAGATGTTCTCAGGATGAAAGAACAATCAACAAGCAAGAATCCTTTTGGTAATGGTGAGTAAAACTTCATTAATAATAATAATAATAATAGCTAAAATTAAGCTTTTTCATGATTCTCCTTAAAAACAAAGTAGTAGTAAACAAGTATATCAAACGAAGTATCTGCGCAATATATATATATAAATGTTTTAATTTTTTATAACGTATTTAAAACTTTTTTTAAGGAACTATGCATTTTAATTATGTCTCTTAAATCTTGCTGACGTAGTAGAAGTGTTTTAAAAATATGAAATTTCAGGTTTTTCGCAATGATTGCGGGTTAATTTAACTCTGTGAAATCATATATATATCTATATATAAAGGAGAATTACACGAGCATTTAATTGTTAGCTAGCTGAATAATGCTTTCTCTAATTAGAACTTTTAACTTATATTTGTACTTAAACTTTTCTAAGCGGTTTAATTTATAACGTACCAAATAAATGTTTTTTGTTTCTAAAAGTTTTTATTCGTGATTATTTGAACTTAAATATTTTTTATCATCATGTGTTAGTATTTAAGGCGTTAACTTCTTCGAGTGCCACTGATTGAATGGTTGCTCTGATATCGGAGGTTAAGTGTTGTGTCATATGAATTATATATAATACCATTAGAAAGGCTGTTATGAAAAGGATCCGGAGGGTTAGACAAAATGCTATCTTAAGAGAAATACTTGATTTTTTTGTGCTAATTCTTTCATCATAACTGTGTAAAACATAATACACATAGGGAATGAATAATCAGGTTAAATGAACATACGATAAATTTGATACTGAATATAGAATCAGTGCTGTGTGACTACAATTATTGCGTGTACCTGAACATGTTGTTGTAATTGAATATGTGAATAAATAAAACATAATTCATAAGATTGATTGAAATATAATATTTATGATAGGTATAGAGCCAATATTGTAAGGATACACTTATGAATTTTTTGTTACGAAATTATAGTTAATATAAAAAATTAATTCAAATTACTTTATAAAGTATGATTATCGATCATTGTACTTGACGGAATATTATTAAAATTCTCTGATTGCAGAATGAGTATGGACGCTTATGACCTCGGTTACAGGTCATAGCTTTTAGTTTGACGACTTGAGCTTCTAGACACCTCATCGATGTCAAGAATTCCTTATAAATTAATAACCTTTTTTCTTTTATTTATACAAAACTTCCTGGTAAAGTCGCTAATTTTCAAAATGGGCTTCTAAAAGTGAAATAATTGTATATGTAATCATAGCAAAACAAAGAGAGTCTGAATTTCATTTTCAGAACGTATCGAACCATATCTTAGCTTACAATTAGAATTTACTGAAACGTTTTATTTTTTGTTTCAGCAAACAGACAGTTGTATTACGAGAAACAGACAAACTACGAAGAATGCAGCGATACACCTTCACCCGAGAGGCATTCTTTAAAGACTTATAATGAGGTAAGTAACAACACAATATAGGTATGGAAACACTTTGATATATATCCTCCTTCTGAAAGTTAGAGCAGTAAACCAAATCTCTAACGTTATATGGATAAGATAGTAATTCTCTATTGATGTAATAATTTCCATAATAGGGTTGTTTAAATATTGTTGTTATATGTATATTAAACTATATTGATTGCCTAGCAAATATAACAGTCTTTATTTGTTGGACTTGATTATATGACCAATATGTCCATTTGTAGTATTTTCAGATTCACTCATTTAACTTTCGGGTAGTAATCAGAAATAACGGGAGGAACGGCATTAAAACTGAATTTCACTTGACTGAGTTGAAAAAAGAAACAAGATACAAAGCTAAACAAATCAAAATAAATCTTTATTTAAATCAAATACGAGTGCATAAAATGTCAAACGGAACTTCTAGATTACAGAGAGAGGCTTTAGTATTGTCTATCTGTTCTAGAGATACTTCCTCAACCGAGAGAGCATGACGTTATACATACATAGAAACGATAACGCCATCTCTCAAAGCGTGGGCATTACTCACGTCATTGGTTGTCCCAAGTGAAAGTAAGGAGAGTTTAACCTCCAGGCACTTTTCAAGATAAACACAGTGATGTTACAAGTGAAAGTAAGGAGAGTTTAACCTCCAGGCACTTTTCAAGATAAACACAGTGATGTTACAAGGGAAAGTAAGGAGAGTTTAACCTCCAGGCACTTTTCAAGATAAACACAGTGAAAGTAATTTAGAGTTCCGAAAATAGATCTCCACCAACATCATCTCTGAGAAACTTTTAAAAATACCGAAGTGAGACACAACTAGTGCTCCAAATGAGGTCAGTCCTATACAAGGTAGATTTCCTGTATGTGATCGGGTCTGGCATGACCTGATGGTCAATAAGACACTTGCTTTTGTTACGAGTCAAAACCCTTCGCTGAGCATTCTCGCCCTTTCAGCCGTAGGGGACGTTATGGAGTGATGTTTAATCCCACTATTCTTTGGTAAAGAGAAACCCAGTAGTTGGCGGTGGATGGTGTTAATTAGATACCTCCCGTCTAGTCTATCACTTCAAAGTTAGGGATGGCTAGCACAGTCAGCCTTCGAGTAGTCATGTGTGAAATTTAAAAAAACAACTACAGACAAACCTATATGTGATCACTTATGCCCAAGGCAGGTCTCCTATATGTGACTATCAGCAAGCAGGCATCTGAAAATGTTTGAAAACTTAGGTGACTAAACATCTTCTAATCTTTCCAGGCTGAGACAGAACGACAAATCGAGTAGTTCTCCAAGTACTACACGTTTAATAGGGAAAATTACCAGTAACTCTTCAGTGTAGTTCTCCAAGTACTGCACATTTAATAGGGAAAATTACCAGTAACTCTTCAGTGTAGTTCTCCAAGTACTACACGTTTAATAGGGAAAATTACCAGTAACTCTTCAGTGTAGTTCTCCAAGTACTACACGTTTAATAGGGAAAATTACCAGTAACTCTTCAGTGTAGTTCTCCAAGTACTACACATTTAATAGGAAAAATTACCAGTAACTCTTTAGTGTAGTTCTCCAAGTACTACACATTTAATAGGAAAAATTACCAGTAACTCTTCAGTGTAGTTCTCCAAGTACTACACATTTAATAGGAAAAATTACCAGTAACTCTTCAGTGCAGTTCTCCAAGTACTACACGTTTAATAGGGAAAATTACCAGTAACTCTTCAGTGTAGTTCTCCAAGTACTACACGTTTAATAGGGAAAATTACCAGTAACTCTTCAGTGTAGTTCTCCAAGTACTGCACATTTAATAGAGAAAATGAACAGTAACTCTTCAGTGTAGTTCTCCAAGTACTACACATTTAATAGGGAAAATGAACAGTAACTCTTCAGTGTAGTTCTCCAAGTACTACACATTTAATAGGGAAAATGAACAGTAACTCTTCAGTGTAGTTCTCCAAGTACTACACATTTAATAGGAAAAATTACCAGTAACTCTTCAGTGTAGTTCTCCAAGTACTACACAATTAATAGGGAAAATTACCAGTAACTCTTCAGTTTTCTAATCATCAGAGAATTCGTTCCAATGAATACAAACAAGTCTCTTTCTCAGAACTCTAATATCACGACCTACATCGAATTTATGCTTACAGTACGCCATTTGTTGCTCATCTCACGCCACTTGTAGTTGGAATTGTTATTCCTATCCCTTTTTTATTGTTCTTCTAGAATCTGTTGAAAAAATCAATTTGGTAGAAGTCTCTTTATATTTTTTCTTTAATGGCAGTTTCATTAACTACATTGCTTAAAATGTTTAATGTATCTAGTTTATTATTTTTAACATTGTTAGCTAGAATGCTTGTTTGACATATATGTTTTATTAGTTTCTAACACTATTGCTTCGAATGTTTAAAGTATCTAGTTTACTATTTTTAACGGTATTGTAGTTAATAAATATAGTTGACTATTTTTAAATTCTGTTCTTTTATAGATTTTCATTATAAAAATTATTTTGCATCGTTAGCGTAGTATATGAACTTACCTAATTCTCCTAAACTGGTCCAAATCTAAATTATTACGAACCACAGCTTTTTAAATCAATAACTTTTTAGTTAGCTTAGGTACCTTTGGGATAGCATTTAATAGATACGTATAAATAGAAACATCACTCGTCTCTCCAACTTGCATAATCAGCTATGATAAAATTGAACGAGACGTGAAGTAATGTTTAAAGTAGGCGCTTGATTCGTCCTTTGCCGCAGTTAAAAATATTTTATAGAAAATTGCAAACTTCTTTGTAAGCTTAATTACAGTAGGCCACTCTAGTTAAGAAACTGCATTTACAGCTAGAGATGGAAGCGTTATAAAAGTCGCTTTCTTCATCATATAAATATGCTTTTCTTCCTTACGCGAATACATAAGCGAGAACTAGAACTAATGGTTTTACTATATAGATAGTTGTTTTTTGAGTATATTATGTTTGATTGGTGCCATATGAGAAACTAATAAAAACTTGACTATTCTATAAGAAACTTTTTAGAATTCTAAATGTTCTTGCATTTTGAATATTTTATGAATTATAAAAACCCATTATCTTAGCGTATGGATTTAGCCTTAGAATAAACTTTCTCTTCTTTCGTAACTTTGAAAGATGTTATTGGAATTACGGCCGAAAACACTGTTAATAGTGAAGTTAACACATGACAGTATAATTAAATCGCCACGTTTTTCAATGCTCTAAATGGCTTGGATGTTAGTCTGGTTGTATGCGAGATGTACTGTTCCAACAATTGTTCATCTAGTTATACATATATAAGCAAATGTGTGCGCTTGCGTGCGTGCATATACATATATATATATGTGTGTGTATATATATATATATATATTATCAACTAAAATGACGAAAGTCTAATTAATAAGTTTATATTTCAACTAACTTTAGCCTTTACTAAATTAACTGGCTTTCTTCAGTTCGGAAGCTATTCAAAATCATGTATATCTACCGTAGGACAGTGGTGGGTTTTCTGAGGAAGAGCTGCTGTGCCAACCAGCTTTCGATCAACCAGCAACCAGATTCCGGTCTGACGGTGTCCATCCTTTACAACGACACCTTCTTTCACCACGATCTGGGCCTTGGAGTGACGATGATGATGGAGATCAGGCGGAGTTTCCACAAGTTCAGAGGCGCCAAGAACGAATACAAACTCCTAGGTATCAACATGACAATGGACCATTCTACGAAGATCAAGGTCGCGTTAGTGCAACGTTGCCAGTTCGCACCACGAAGGGCACTCCAAAATTCCAACACAAGAAACCTCCGAGAAATCCTAAACCTAATTATGACGCTGACATAAACAGACCAGGTGTTCCTATTCCCAATCAGAGAAGCAGTCTTAAGTATTCCAAACCTGAAATGCAGGTAAGATACTCAAACCTGATGTGTTGGAATATTGATCTTTGATAACATCTCATTCATGACCTGAAAACCTAAAATACTCATATCATTAACACACACAGGCCTTACAAGAATATCAATATATTCATACACAGGTCTTACAAGAATATCATTATATTCATACACAGGTCTTACAAGAATATCAATATATTCATACACAGGTCTTACAAGAATATCAATATATTCATACACAGGTCTTACAAGAATATCAATATATTCATACACAGGTCTTACAAGAATATCAATATATTCATACACAGGTCTTACAAGAATATTAATATATTCATATCATTAACACACACACACGTCTTACAAGAATATCAATATATTCATACACAGGTCTTACAAGAATATCA